TTCACGCTTATCTATTTCGTCCTTGCAGTGTCGGTTGTACAGTCTTGTGTTTTAATACAACAACATAGAAATGACACGCCTTGGTTTCTGCGAGCTTCGTCTCTTCCTGTGGGTTCTCCCCTTGGTTTGCTCACTGGTTTTGTTGTGATTGTGGCAGCATCGCGCTGCCTGCTCGAATTCACGCATCGGAACCTACCGTATCCCGTTATCCACGTCGGGCATACCTCGCCGATAGTCTTACGGTGCGTCCGACGCTAAGGTCGCATCAGGACATTTTATATTGTGCGGGTAAAACCTGACCTGAGCTGGGTTAATTCTCGCTTTGACGCGGTTCCCTCCATATACCTGGGTGGACCCCGAATTTTTACCTATATTTGTGTATAATTTATTCTTTCTTTTTCATCCACAATGGGGTTCTGATAACGCGCTTGCCATTAATGGCTTAGCACTTTCCTTTGGTCTCCGTTTTACCTTCATTTTGACGTTTTTAACACGCGTTGTGGTTCGTTACAAGTTAAAAGCTGTTTTTCCTTTTCCGCTACGGACCCCGTCCAGAGCAACAGATACCGAGCATAAGGTATGGAGCGAAATTTTCTACTCGGGCAAAAGCAATCTGACAATGGGCGAGTTTCATTTCAACGTAGCCGATTTGGAGCTGAAAACCACCACATTTCATAGGGGTGAAAGCAAGGGTTTTTGCGGGAAGGGTTAGAATGAATTACAAGTTACAATTAGGGGGCGGGGAGCTAACTATCTAGGATGGTGGATCACAACGTTTTTGAGGCTGCTACTCACAAAGCGGGTCCATTAAAACAATTACCTTACCAAAATTTTTGGTTTCAAAATATTGCATGTTTTGCTTTAGATTACGAAAAATGAATACTACTTTACTTTCGATAATTTAAACAAAAAACGCCTGTTTTTGAGCAAAGAGGTGATGTAGGTTAATGAGACAGTTCATTTTGCCGAGTTCTAACAATTTCTGGATTATTTGGTGCGGTTTCAGATAATGCATACCGTAAGTCGTGCTCCAAGTTCATTCGGTTGCTAGTTTTGGTGTGTGACCCCTGATCAAACATGGAGAGATGTCAGTGGCTCCTCATTTTCTTCAACCATCCCTTTCAAGTCTGTCCTGGATTACAGAATCTCGTCACCACTGTCTCGATACACCCTGAACACAAAGCGCCTGTTTTGTCTCTTCTAACTTGTAAACACTTGCTCGATCCTTTACCTAGTCATGTGACCTAAGCTCCCACCGCAGTGTTCACCCAACTCTGTAATTCGACCACGGGAAGGACTTCATGACCCAAAAAACCATCATCGACGAGTGAGCCGATAGAGGCACCATCTAGCTGCGCTGCTTTGCAGGCTTGTATCCATAATATAGGCAATAAAAATGATTATCGAAAACTGTCTACTTCACTGAGCACTAGCTAAACATTAGTCACTACCGGTTAAACAATAACGCATAGGGAGTTAGTAACTGTTAAGTATGCTGCTTAGCGGAGCCAATATCACATACCGGTGTCGTTCCCCACGCGCCGAGTAGCTGCACGCAATCCAGACCGCTTACGAGCCCGAAGATCCTAGCCGCGATTATCCCATAAGACAGACGAGCGCAAACCCAGATCGGCACAGAGGAAGAGAGAGGACAGTCCTTTGACAAAAGCGTTTCTACTGACTCAAGAAAGAACATGAATTATACACCTTATTTATAGCACCGTGTTGCCGGGCTGAGGAGAGTAAAAACGCTTTTTAAAAAACGAATATCAGTCATTGGGAGTTGTCACCCAGCAACCGTGTTACCGAGGGAACCACGGACTAATTGCGTCAGGTTAATTGTCGCCTGATAAGATAAGTGACATAATAGAAGTAGATCACGTTGACACCGAGGGAACATAGGTGTAATCGTCATCTGAGTGAGTTGCCATGCGGAAACAGTGGGACGGGGTCAGCAAGGAGAAACCGGCTCGGCGTGGAAGTTCTGTAGACATATGAGGGCTCCAAAGCCCTCAAAATGCTTTTGTTATTAATTTTGTTTGGTCACAGATTGACCCAATCCTCGTGTTTATATTTACCAACAAAATTTAATTATACCCCCCATGGGGGTAAATGCCACCAGGTTGAGTAGGATGTTTATCTTTTTTGTAGATGAGACCAGTAACTATAAACAGAAGATGAAAGCGATACATTATTCAATGCGAATAGCAAAAATGGTAAAACATATAAAAAGCGTTCTAAGAAATTGCCAATCAGACAGCAAAACCCTTCGGGTTGAGTGACGCATTTTCCTTAACGGTATGCCGAGAGCATAAGACATCACATAAAAAGAGCTTTCACCGTAAAATTGCATTTGCCACGAGACATTCTATAAGCGTATTCTCGTTACAGCACCATATGCTACATGCAACACGGGTCCGTCGAAAGGACAGCGATATGAACCGGTGGAAGTCAAAAGATCCAAAAGCATCCAACCGTTGAGTTCAGAGAGATCAGTGACGAAGACGGTTTGTTCGAAGCTACGCGGCAACGTACCACAAGCGTACGGAGACGATGTAGACCAGATGTTCGTATGGAGCGAAACATCACAGGAGGAAAAGATGAAATCAATGGCGGAAGGAACAGGATTCAAACTGAGTGGAGCAGAAAGAACATCAGGTCACTACTATACCCATATGTTTTAAATGTGGTTTCCGTGAAGTAAAGCTTGTTCCCCATTGGTATAATAATAATAATAATAATAATAATAATAATCAGCAGCAGCAGCAGCAGCAGCAGCAACAGTACATTAGCCATTTGAACTGATACTTCACTGCCATACAATCATGATGAGCGATGAAGTAAAGAATAATAAGAGGGAGAGGGGGGACTTACCTGAAAACACTAGTGACATAAGCAAAAATTCAGCGTTAAGGCGCCTACACCTTGTGTAGACAACATATCGTCACAAACAGCTGGCTATCATGCCCACCAATCTTGTGTATGGCACGAATGCTGCAGAAACTAACTCGTAACAGCCATGTGCAGCTGTTGTACATGAAATATTCTTAAGTCAGACTGACGCTTCAAACTCACGGCATAACAAGAACTAGGATAGCAAAAATAATCGGCAACAATCTGGTACGTTTATAGTCAAGTTCGGTATTAAGCAGTTGGTCACATCGATAGTCGGGTACATTATGCGATACGATTTTGCAGTCAGTAGTCCCGTAAAGACAACAGCAGTACGCCGGTACGCAGTGCTAACGCATTGCTGCCGCACAACTACCACCGGTCGCACGTAGGCTAAGCATACTGCGACAGTCGCCTGGTCCCTACGCAGGCTCGAACCTGCGCCCTTGGATTACGAGGTACTCTTGTGATCCTTTATGCTACGGGCCAGTATATGGTCCCGTGCTCGCAAACGTTTTGCCCAGCAATTAGGTTCTTTTTCTAAGACCTCATTTATGTCATATTTCAGCTGCACTTTTCTTCTGGTTGCTATTCATAAGGGGGCTGAAAAATATAAGTGACGGAACACACTGCAACTGCTCGGATTCAAATCGGTTAACCGAGCAGAAGTGAGCAGTGCTCGCAGCACTTACAAAATCGGGAGAGCGGTCCCAACAAAACGTCTTGGTCCGCGGTGGGGTTAAATGAGTGCACAACCATACGAAACAGACCACCAATCGTGTGGTCTCAACTCACAACACATAGACGCAATAAACGGAGAAATGACACTCACTTCGCACAAAGCCAAGACACCAACATTCTTCTTTTGTGTGGGGTAGGAATAGTTAGCAGACTTTGAAGAACAATCGGCAAAGTAAATCCCCTTTCCGAACATGTAACCAGTGACTGGGGCCTCGGGTGGAGCGACTTTCAATCCACGTCCAAGAATTCCAACCCAATTGGTTAAGCGACTCCCATGCCATAGTAGCATACTGAAAACGGCACGAAAGTGAATCCAAGTTTTAGGTAGAGTGTGGGTTGTGCAAAGATGACTGGCACTGCGTGGCGAGAATTAAAACACGTTGGAGCAAAAGAAGGATAAGGCAGAATGTACAGGTGATATTTGTGCATCAAAAAAATCAGATTAAAGACGGCAGTGGTGCGAGGCATATATCACTGGAGGGAACGGGAACATAACCAGGCTGGTCGTTGTGTGGTCGAGGAGTTCAAATGAAGACTATGAGAAGGCGATTCGAATTTTCGACTGGCTCTTTCGAGACTTCGTATACCTAGTTCGGTGCAGTGAAACTAGTCAAATATGGTCCAGGTAACAACGTGAAGTGGATCTAATCTCAATAACGGTGGTAATAATTATGGTAGAAAATAAGAGAGGAACGAATAATGAGGAAAGCAATCAAATTGTCTGTAAAGAGAAATCTGTAATCGTTTGGTAAGAAAACTGTACTGATCCAATGCAACATTGACAATGAAACCGAACAACAAACTAAGCAGACACATAGGACCACACTCAAAAGAGTAAAAAGTAGGGGTTCAGTTCAGTCTAAAAGCTAACATTCTTGCACCAAGCCGAGGTGGACCGAGCTACGTGGGCTTACGTCGCATTAGTGTCAGTAACGATTCAACAGGAATAGGCAACAAATAAACTCACCAGCCTAAGTAGTTAAGAGACAGAAATAAGGAAAGGAATGTAAATACATTAGTACCTTATTGACTGCACACTATATCCTATAAGCTATGCAACTACTCTTGTGGCCGATCTTATAAGCCCCACCCATGAATGCCACACACAGAAACTCAGTGGAGGCAATCTGTCGTGTCAGTAACTGCTCAGCTAGGTGCCCCAACAAACCAGATGCATTGCTGAGACAGCACATACCGATGTAAGCGGTTTGTAGGCATACGAAGCACATGACTGAGCAAGCGAGGTGGCTTTAATTCAACAGCCATTCCGATTAGGTGCTACCGAAGAGTCTGGTGCCAAACGCCACAACAATTTCGATATCACCCACTGGGTTCCCTAACCAGATATGAGCAATCCTTCGCGTGTATCGGTGATCTAACCCGGTCAGTCATTTAAAGTCGTTAGTAAGGTATCAGGTGCCAGTACTCCGTACCGACGTTCAGTTGTCACGCAACAAGCAACAGTCGCGTGCCAACAGGGATATTGCGGGATCACCCACGCCTACGCAGAATCGAACCGGTTACCCTTGGGTACCGGAGCCAGAAGTCTGAATCGACCGGCGCAGCGGCCATGGCTCTGGGACTCGAACCGGGTGAAGACAGTCATCATAAGCCTTCCACATCACATTAAGGAGTTCAGTTTGTAACGCCTACTGCAACGATTCGGGATTCACTGCGTATCGGAATCTATCAAGGTAAAGGCAATCCAGAAATCCAATGATGAATTCAGCGAATAATATTTCACCGCAGATCATGCAGGAGTTATGAGGACAGGGAACATCATGAATAACCCGGATAATAGGTGTCAGGGTGCCTCAAGGATGTGTGAAAAAAGTGAAGCAACATGAAAGCGGTATAACATACACAATATCGGTGAACAAGATAAGTGATGTTATTACCGATTTCCATGATTAGTGAAACCTTCAACTTCGCTGGGCTTGGTGCATTCATGAATGTCAAGAAGCTCGAGAGTATACCAGTTGTGAGTGTTTCCATGGTTGGTGTGTAAATAATTGCACAAAACCTGGAGGAAGAGGTCACCAAAGCAGTTGTGAAAAACGTTCAGAATGTAAAAGAGAAGCCATGAATATGTAAGTTTGTGGATAGGGCAATAAACGAGAGTACTGGGCAGAGGGATATGCAGTGCAAAGGAGCAATGGAGACGAAACGGTAGCTCAATGTATCATCGGATGAGTAGAGCCTGTCTGGCTCAGTGCGATTGTGAGTCAATCTCCCTTTTATGCCAGTACATAAAACCAGGTAAGCTAATCTATGGTATGGCTCAAAGGAGCATGGAGAATCTCATGAGAGAGAAAATAATGCCTGCAGTGCAGTTGCGAGGAAGTGAGAAACAACTACTCATTGGGGTCAGTTGCTGTCTATGAGCTGGGCGCTCCTATTGAAATGGGGAACAATAGGTTGATGGGGAAAATGTAGGATTAAAAAATGAGAACGAAAGTAGTTATCTAAGAGGTGTCAACAAAGGTTGAACTCTCAAAATGAATGAATATAAAATGCAACTGAGCATGTGAAATGGAGGTGTGGACGTAAACTGTACATTGTTTCACACTGCATCTGGAATCGCGTATGCGGCCTACCATATAATCGCTATATAGCGAGCACCAGAAGAGGGAAAAGCAACCCTCTTCGTCCAGCTCTCACACACAGGCACGTTGGAAGTTTAACCGACCTGGCATCATTGCAAGTAACATCAACAGGGAGGCTAAATCGCTACGACGGAACGTTAAACTCTGAATGCCTCAGCGATACGTGACAGAACGGTAGTTTCCTCGCATTGAATAACCAACCGGGAGGTAAGTCGAGTAATCGAAGGATAAACGGATCCCCCTTTTGCCTATATTCTCTCTGTTTAGGTTATATTCACCGTCCCCAGCCCTAACCTCGAAGACGCATAGGAAAACAAAACATTCGGCTGGAAATTTAATAGCCATCCTGCGTATTACGATGACTGTCACAAGCAACTCGCCTAAAGGCGAGTCCAACAAACGGGGAAAGTGATTGACATTGCCGCTCGCGCACGTTGATAGTTAGGTGTAGTCCAACTTCATCGTACTATTGACAAGGACGAAATATCTGAATGGGATTCACTGTTTTACACATAAAATAGTTAGTAGTAGAGTGGTTCCTCCAGTTCGCAGTTATACAGATTACCGAAAACATATAAGAATGCTGCCGCGACAGATTCTGTCTACAATAGCAGCCTCAACACAAGCTGGATCGTTGCCGTTGATGGTGACTCCGATGAGAACAGAGCGGAATAACCCATAGAGTACCCTAGATTGGCCGACTTGTGTCCTTGATCTTGAAGAAATTAAAGTATCTGAGAAGTTCACTTGTTCTATGTTTACAACGCTCCGACGCAATAGAATGTGCGCACCAGTTAACCAGGGAGTGTGCGTTAGCGATGCCCAGAGGAATTACTGAGAGAATCGGAGGCGCTGTGCACGGAGAATACCCAATGCACTTCTGGGGCACGCCGTGAAGTCAAATTGATAGGTTAACAATACGCAGCCTACCGGGCTCCGCGCTAACTGATTTCTGCATGCCGATAATAGAGCAAGATACATCCGGAGCTGCCGCGCTACAAAAGCTATGTGCATAACATCTTGACCTGTTCACTAGTACTGACTCAAGCTTCACTTTCATCCAAAATCCCTGACCTATTGATCACATGTTATCAAGTTGAAGTCGAATCGATACGTAAAATTCCCTAACGCCACATTATACCCATCCTCATTGTATCATCCAGACCGTACTTTTGCATCGAACAGCAACTATTGGTTGGTCCTAAGTTGCCCTGGACGTAGGCGAAAGACTTCCGTTTTAACGTGGTTTGATTGTACATTGAGTGTTCAGCTCGCCGAACTACCTCCTCGTGGTGCCAGCTGGGTGACCCGGGTTTAGTACGTTCCAGCAAGTGGTTAGGAGATGGGAATCCGACTGACAGGCGACCTTTTCATAAAAGGCACAAATGTCCATTTAACAATACTGACGTGGCGAATGTGGCTCGCCACTAGCTAGTCAATGCCACTTGTTTCAACATGGTGGAGCAAGGAAATCGTCATGATCGTCTAACAACTTACCTAGCCAAAAGCATATGAAATGGAAAAATAGTTACCGACTTTCAATGAGCGCCGTGCTGCCTCGCGGGTAAGCTGTTCAGCTAAATACTCGAGGGGTTGTCTTCTAAGTCTACTCTCTACTTCGGCTTAGTCAACCGAGTAGTATCAAGTCCTATGAAGAAATGATAGATTGCTTAGGGGGCATGCAAAGCACGTGCTTAAGCCACCGAAGTCTGTGCAGTGGCCGGCCCGTATCCTTAAGGATCACAAGCATGGCTTGTATTGTGAGCGCGGGGGTTCGAGCCTGCGTATGGACCGGGAGACCCTCACAGAATCATCAGCCCACGTGCGACTTGTGATGGTTGCGCGGTAGCGAAGCGTCAGTACTGCGTGCCGGCGTACTGCTAATGCCCTCGTTGCCTGTGCAGTGAAAGTATGCAGCTCCGTGACCGGCAAAGTCTAACACATCCGAAAATCCTATGATGAACATCCTCGTTACTAAGGTGATGTTGCCATCGTACACCAGCAATGTTCCGAAGGCAGCGGTGATAAAAGGCAGACGGCCTCTGAACGGCCTTTGTATGAACAAGTCAAAACTCGCAACCGCTGAGCAAGATCGCTCTCACCACGGTATGGTGAACGCAGCCCTACATGAACAAGTCGCGCCGACGCCAGAGATGGCGGAGAGTAACAAAATCAACCCGAGCCTTAGGGACGCGCAAAGAAATACCATCCGTTAAGCCGTTAGCGCTGACGCAGCTTCCAAGGTAAACAAAATTCTTTACCAGTTCCAGAGAATGACCTGAAAGGGTAAGGGTAGGAGCAGGTCCTAACCAGTCTCATAGGTAGACTTTGCACTTCGAAGGGGAGAAGATCATACCAAACGTCACATTTGGCCAGCGTGAAAGAAATCACAAATCACAGTGATGCCGTCTGCATACTCCAAATCGCGAAGTTGGTCCCCCGGAAACATTTTAACGGCCTCAGGTTCGCAGATCTCCAGAGCGATTCTCACTATGTGGTCCACATCGAAAGTGGACGTGAAGGATGATGCTGGACAAACCGCTTACGCCAATGGTGATACCAAAGGGGTCGAAAACCCGCCGTTTACACGCACACCGCTTGGGGTTCGAGAATATATAATGTAAAGAAGGTTGATGTACTTCTCGGGGACTCTTCTTTTCAAAAGACAACTCTAGAGAGCAAATAAACCTAAAAGCCAGAAAAATAAAGTAACCAAAGCTCATATCGAAAACCTATAGATATGTGCAGTAAATCAAGAGAGATCGAAAGAGTCAAGTCATCAGCAGTACGCCGGCACACTGTACCGACGCATCGCTGCCCCGCGACCACCAATGGTCGCGCGTAGGCTGAGTATACCGCGAGGACGCCCACCTCCGCGCGGATTCGAACCGGTAACCTAAGGGTTGCAAGCCAGGCATGCATTCCTTTCGGTCAGCAGCCGACAATCAAGAGATACTAATTCAGACAACCAATATCCATGAGAAGAAGCCATGTTGAAGATGGTTGGTAGTAGCCAGGCTAGGTGTATCAATGGAGGAAGGTGAACACAATAAAGACCAGAAGGGACGGATGAAGCATACCATGAACATGGGGTTGGTAGGGTCCATTGGCTTCAAGTCACAATTGAGTTGTTTGTACTTGGTGTCTAACAGATTCTCCTTTGAGGATTTGTTTTCATTCAAGGAGCTGACAGCGTACTCAACATCGTCCAGAATAGCTAGCAGCTCAAGTTTTTCTTTGAGGTCCTTCGGTGTACGGATCAAGGGTGGAATGCGCATGCTGATTTGACGAAGAATGACAGAACAGGTAAGGTAGAGACAGTGAAGCCATAATATGCCGTTAAAAAAGACGAAGATTCGATGTTAGGAATAAAACGATGTCACAGCGCTAGTGAAGAGCAAAACGAATGCACGTCATCACAAACCAATCCAAGCACAAGAAAACTACGGAGCTGCATACGCAAAGAGCCTCAAGTTTTTCAAACGTAGATGGTAAATTAATATGAAGGCACTCAATGGAATGAGCCAATGCAAATACTCAATTTGAATACACGCAAAGCCGGCGAAAAGAGTAACAGGAGTAGGAGAAAGAATTGGCCGTTTCTCCCTGCAGGCAGGCAAATGGCCCTACCACATTTGGGTCGTCGTTCAAACCCGACGCAAAACTAAGGTGGTAGAGACAAGATGAGTAAGTGCAGGTGCGAGAGGATAGTGTTGAACGACCCAAACAAACCGACCGGATTGATTTCACAAGATAAGTGAACATTTGCACCCGTGTTCACACATATCCAGAGGAGAACATGTGGCATCGCGGAAAATCACATTCTAATCAGTTCTGAAGTAAATACACATATTGCTGAGTAGGACAATGCAAATGTCGCGCGCCCTACGTTTATATACAACAAAGATGCGTCAGACATTACATTGTGTACATTGATTATAGAACAAGAAAAGTAAGTGTTACAGCGGTGAATCGCCAAATGTGAACTGGTGATGGCGTTGCACCGAAAAATAAACGGGCGGTAGGTGTGCGAAACAAATTAATTTACAGAAAAGCATTTAAGTGCATAATAGGTTACATGCTAAATAGTGTCTTGGTCAAAAATACAAGCAGACTCAGGAGGTAGGCAACGCGCACAAATATCATGATCAAAGCGTCCGATTCCCAAAGGTTGATGAGAGGGGCGAGAAGGAGGGGATACAAAAGGAACAGTATGATTTACGAACCGCGTTGGAATAGACAGAAATTCCTCAAATGCAAGGATGTAACAGATTACCTATGTCAAGCTCGCGCATTAGGATACTAACACCAGAAAAAGTGGACAAAGGAGGGGGGAAGGGATTCAAGTGGAAGAGTTACTACATGTTGTTAGGGTTAAAGCATAGAAAGATTAATGTTCACCTATTCCAAATATGAAAAACGGCCACCCGAAGGGGTTTCCACTGAAAACTTCGGGAACTAGATTAGAGAAGACACACAATATATGAGATCCCAGAGAAAGCTTGTTGCAGACTCATACAAAGCCATGGGACTCGTGCCACAAGAAATACGAAATTGAAAGAGCTCTGCAACGGGACTCTTTGGCGATAAGAAACGACGCACACGGCACGATCACCTGAGCTAACGAAGGCATATAAGTCAAGAAAGGCAATTAAGGCAAATTGCGCGTAGGTGACTTTGTTCTTGAATCTGATGAAGGATAAACATATGCACTGTATACAGTGGCGGAGCTGTAAGCTATCGGGCGCGTCCCCAGGTTGCAAATGGGGAAATGCCTTCCTTGCGGAGGCAACTGCGAATAAGTCTTGTTTGCCTTGCAGGCGAGATGAATAAGCAGTCGCGTACAATCAGCAGCAGCATCTCAGTGCGTGGGGAGTTCTGGGTCGGTAACCTGGTTCTCCATCAAATACCACAAGAGCTCGTACGGCGCTGCGTCAAAGCCAATGTGACCGGCTATAGGGTCACTAACTACTCACTTCTGTAACCAGAAGTGAGTACCCAACGGAGGGCGGATGAACAATCTTGTTGGCTACCGGCTCCTCTGTGGACTGTTACTGAACATAAATAAAGCGAACGAGCTAACCGGAAGTCAACTGTCTCTGTTAATCGTCCTGCTGCCTTGCAGGTCAGGTCTTTACGACCAAAGACTCGAGGTGGGGTCCCTTAAGTCAAGCCTCTTCGTAGGCCTGGGCAAAGGGAAGATCGCTGGCCGCACAACACTCCTACCTAGTAAACCTTCCAAACCTTTCCACCGTCTACCTGTTTTCCCCTTTTTGCTGTCGTTAGCTATATGTTGTGATACTCAACTATATATTGGTCAGGTGTTAAACAATAATAATCATAATAATCATAATAATAATACTTTATACCGGGTGAAAGTCAAATGACGATGGCTGAGTCTCCCTCAAGACATATGTGCGGATGAAGTGTGGCACTCCGGAACAATCAGGAAGTAAGCCCAAAGTTGCGCACTACGTACGATGACTGGGGTGACTGACAGTCTGGAATTAATCATTCCGTGCATCATATGGTGAAGGTAAAGAGTCAAATTTGATGAAAATGAGTTTCCACCGTTTTCTACTAAAATGGACGGAAAGTAGTTAGTCCTTTTATTTCAAAGAGACGTGTATCCGAGGGGGGGGTTGCCATCGAAAATACTAGATATACTTAAGTTGGTCATTGCATGAGTACCTCGTTTTGATTCCAGTCGCTTCTGGAGCAAGAGGTATTTTTATCGTTTAAAGGTGGACTCACAGAAATACGGAAATGAATAGAAATTTTCCCACTGCAACGGGAATATCTCAAAATGTTACCGAAACCTAGAAAGGAATACTAAATATTGAACGCTGTAATTGGAGAGCGGCCTCCGGCCGGTTATCTTTGTCTGTGTTGACAAGTTCACTTTGTGTTAGCTTTATGCGTTCATTGGAAGTATTTTGTGGAAATTGAGATACAATTCAGTTTCATTTCCGATTCTGAAATTTCCGACCAGAAATACTTGTGTTTTCATCGCTTGGTTTCGGCGATCTTGCTATCGCCCTTTTGTCCCTCAATTGGCCGCCATCTTGTTTTCGGATTATTCACAATGCCGAAGCAGTCATCCTGTGGTACTTGCTCCAAACTAGTCGGATACCGTGCAAATGCCCTCACGTGTGTTTTGTGCCAAGTAAAATACCACATTTCATGTGTTGGATTATCAGTTGAGCACTTTCATCGTCTTCGCGAAATCCAACACGATTTCGCCCAAACTATATGCGAAAATTGCCGAAATAAGATACAGTCGGAAAGAGTAAAGCCGGTGCGTAGGCCTCAGCATTTCACTGTGAACAGCTCCGTGTGTTTGGCCCAACAACCTAGCCCGAAGAGCCTTCAGGTTTCGGCTCAGTCGTCCTCCTTTACCCCTGCAAACTCGTCGACACGAAGTCCAACCGTTGTGAGAAGCCCAGTTGCACCTGGTATAAATTGTTTACCTTTGTTGTGTCCAACGGACACTGATGTCACAGCAAGTGAAAGTCTGAGTGCTGAAGACCAGTGGAAAGAACAAAGAACGAAATTAAGGAAGGACGTTGGGTGTATACGTTCTGTAAGTCAACAGTTAGCCAAACCACGTGAGGCTGGTAGTATACTTCGCCCTGCAAGGTCAACCTCGTCCGACCAGAGGCGTTATAACTTCGTGCGCTTCCACGCGTCGGAGTCCAGTGATCCATCACCCCTAGTGCGCTACGATCACGATGTCGAGCTTTTACAGGGTCTAATTGATAGACTCCTCGACGCTGATAAGGACTCTGTAAAAGTGAGGCAGATTATTCGTCTTGGAAAGCAAGGTGATCAACAAAATCGGCCTATGAGAATTACTTTTGTGGACGAAGCCAGTCCAAGACTGATCATGTTGCGCCTAAGTAGACTGAAAAGTTTGAAGATCCATGTTCGTCCAGACCTGGACCCAGTAGACAGGGAGCGGCTCAAGTCTGCCATCAATGAGCTGAAAAGACACACTGGTGAGGGGGAAACAAATCTTCGTATAGTAAATTTTCGGGTGGTTTCCAACAATCTGCGAATCAGGATAAACAGGCTGCTCACACTTCAGGCACGCCCGGTGGCTCCTGCTGCGGCCTGCGAGTAGCCTTCACAAACCTTTACAGTATTATGAATAAGCGCGATGAGCTTTGTTGTTTCGTCGCGTCTGAGTTGCCAGACGTAGTGGGACTCGCAGATACGTGGCTGTATGCGGAGTTATACACCCAAGAACTTGTACTCAACGGTTACTCGTGTTTCCGATGCGATAGACTAAAGAATGCCCAAGGTGGTGTCTTACTTTACATCCGGTCTTCCCTGCGTGGGAGACTTGTGAGCACCTACCGAAGTGACGATGGTTTGCGTAAGCTACTGTGGTGCTCCATCCGCCTCAGGTGCGGAGAACTGCTTTTGGGCGCAGTTTATCGCAGCCCCCTGAGTCGTTGTTTGGATTGGCTGCCCATTCTTCGGACCCACATGAGGCGTCCACACTTTCTACTTATGGGCGATTTTAACTGTCCTCGAATACTATGACCTGATGTGCATTTGATGACTGGACATAGTGAGGTTGAAGCAAAGTTCGTGAATTTGGTACTTGAAACTGGTGCATCGCAACACATATGCCAGCCAACTCGCATAACAACACGTTCAACCCCGTCCTGTCTCGACCTAATGTTAACGAGCTACGAACAACCAGTGCGTGACACTAGGATCCTGGAGCCCCTGGCTAAAACGACCATTCAGTGCTCATAACTGATTTGGAATTATCTTTGCCGTATTCACGTCCAATGGAACCAGCTCCCAATTACTGGAAAACGGACTTCGATGGTTTAGCTCGAGCCGCGAGCCAACTGAATTGATCTCTGTCTCAAGCTGCATCTGTGGAAGATTGTTGGATATTTATAAAAGAGAGATTGACATCACTGTGCTCCCAATTTGTGCCATTGGAATGCCGGAAGGTTGGACCGATTAAGCCTCATTGGTTTCGATACCGATTTCGCCTGGACTATTGAATCCAGCAATTCGTTCCAATAGCTCACCACTCGATGCTCGGAGCATAGAGGGTGAGCGATACGCTTCAAATCCGATACCACCTATCTGTACCGATCTACCAGGACCATACGAGTAGACGTTGGGGTATGCATCGAGACAGGAACTGGATCCACTGATCAAAAAGGTTCTTCCTCATGCAGACGCAGACAAATGAATAAGGACGGGTAACAGTTCGTTAAGAATGTGGTTGAGTGCTAGCAAATAAACGCAAAAGGAAACTGGGATCAGCGAAAATAGATGAACGGAACCGTTTCACGATGCAGTGAACAAGATTAGAGGTTCAAAAGCACCGATGAACAAATGTAGCATGCACAGGTAAAATAATGAGCAAATGAAAGCTAATTACTCTGTGGACCTACCCAAAATCGTGTGGTATTCTAGTGTAAAATAAATTACAGGCTTGTAATAATTCGTGTTCCAAAGTTTTTTTGTCAATTGTGCTGGCAGACGATCGTCTGGGTCTGCCGCGTTTTCTGACCGAAGAATCTAAATGGGAATTTGCTTCGGATTGGAGCTGATTGATGCAGTCAGAGATCCTGCGAAGGGCAGCGTATCCAGCGGCCACTTGTTCTTTGGTCAACTTCCCAAGCGGAGCGCGTCGGGAATCGTAGCTTAGCTCAGTCAGCTCTGCCTCCATTGCCTTAACGTCATAGATCAAACCTAAGAGAAGCTACAAACGTCAAGGTGAAAACCAACAAACCTGAACAGACTCGGGGAGAAGCGATTTAACCTCATTCCGCGCAGGCTTTTCTACCTCCTGAATTCCGTTCTCTTCACCGTAATGTACCTTGACGACATCGTATTTGCCGTCTACCTTTGTAAATATTGCAAGTGGATCCCAAATGTTGCCCGTTTTATCTAAGAACCTGAGTAAATTCAGCGTGTCGGTATATGATATGCCCACTTCTTGTGAAAGCAACTTTTCGCCATTTCCAGATTACTCCCAAAAGACTCCAATTTGTGCTGACCAGGTTTCCCGACACGACCCCAACGAAACCAAACAGAATAGTGAGGAGATGAATCGTCTTCTAACAGCTGCATGACATAGTACTTATTATTGTTATGTTGAAGGTTGGTCTGAAAACTAAGTAAACTAATGTCCATAGAAGAAACCTGATTCAGTAGCGCATCGTATGCCATCTCATCTTCATAATAAACGTGAGCAACTCCCATCTTCTCTGTACAAAACTTGTCTACTATGGCATGGCCTACAAAGCAAATACCGAGGTAAGGAGCGAAACCTACTTCGGTTTTTATTACTTGAGTAGTTGTTCTTGTGGCGCTTAGATAAGCCAGGCTTTACGAGCGACGGGGACGAGGATCTTTTCATCTCACAAGGCTGAAAATAGAAAAAGTAAAAGTTACACGATGCAAAGCTGTGTGAGAAAAGCCGAAAGTGTCTCGCGTAGAGTAGGAAGCAAACACAACGAAACTGGCCAAATCGGGAATTTCCGTTATTAGTGGTCAGAAGCATTCAGAAGCTGGTTGTTTGATCTCCGTCCGCCGGTGGCCGAGTGGTCTGCGCGTTTGGTTTGCAACTATAAGGTCACCGGTTCGAGTCCGTGTAGGGGTGGGCGGCCTCGTGGTATACTCAGCCCGCGCGCGACTGATGATGGTCGCGAGGCAGCGAAGCGCCGTTACGACATACAGCTGGCACACTATTGTTATTTATTTTGTTTGACCACCCATGTTGAGAAATAAAGTTCCTTTGTGGTGAGAGTACCGAATTGGTAGAGAGAAGGCATCAATAGTATGCCGGCACATATTACCGACGCACTGCTGCCACGTGACCACGACCAGTAGCACTTGGATTAGGGATACTGAAAGATCGCCGGCACATACGCATATTCGAATCGGTGACCGATGGATTACTAATCGGCCACTGTACAATGTAGCCATGTGTTTAACCCCCCTTTACGGTGTGAAACCTGGAACATAAGATCGACAAACATAGAGGCTAACGAAGAAAGTTTGCCCTAAGCCTTCACGCTACTCAAACAGCGCTCCCATAGCTACGGATTACTCGAGTACACGATTCCTGAGCAGACACTCTTAGGGTGTACATCGATCCACCGAACCGAAGGCACCTTTCACATATGCGAACAGGACTGTGGCGGATCGTTCGGATTCATTGGGGTATTGAGAGTAGGAGGGAGTGCCCTTGTCAGCTCAATCGGTTTCGAATCATTACAAGGTGGGTGCTTGCTGTCGAGAGAGGTTACTCCTTCGGAGATCGTCACCTTTAAAGTAAGAGCTGCAGGACCCTGCCATGTGAGTTAAATGAGAGTCTAACAGTTGCCTTAAAACCTTCCTCTGTTTGCGAGTCCATAATGTGTTTCGGCAGACTGTTCCAGTCATTCACTACCCGGGAAGACAGAACAGCTTGCGCAAGGGCGCGAAGTGTCCTCAGTTTAAATAGTTTCTACTTGTGTTCACGGGTCTAGCTGCGCACACTGAGTTGGAAGAACTGTTGCAGCTCACTTCCAAGTTCTCTGCTTAGAATGCTTCAAATGTAGAGATTTCCACGAATATGACGGTATTCCGTGGAGAACAGGTTCTACGGCTCAAGTCGTAGAGCGTAGGGGAGGTCCTGAAGCTCCTATATACATTTTGGATCGCGCTTCTGTACCTTCTCTATTAAACCATATTCGGATTTCGTTAGGGGATGGGCAGCCGGGAGACCATATTCTAGAATCGGGCGGACATGGGAAGCGAATAGGGTTCTAAAAACTTTCGGCGTAATTTTACAGAATGACCTTCGCAAAGCCCAAAGCATTCGGTTGGCTGCTGCGACCTCCTTCTGTGTGTAAAGGGACGTCTTGGGATCGTGCGAGAGGATAACTCCCAGGTACTTCTCATATGTGATACTGAGACTGTATTTAAGAGCAAGTGGAAAGGTTTCTGTACAACTCTATCGAACTACGAAAAATCAAAAACATTTAATTGCGAATCGTCAGCGGTAGCGTTTGGTAAGTTAATCGTGTATCCACGTTTGGTTAGGAATTCCTATTGGTGTCATTATTCCCGGGTATACGATGTCTGCTTTTGGCATTGTACGTGCGTCGTTTCACAAAAGCACAGGTTTCCGAAATAATCACCGAGACGTGTTTTAAAACACTTTACAGAATCGGCTTCTATCAATCCTTCTGGTAGTGTATTCCATAAGTTTCGTTTTTCGTTCGATACAAAGCTGATGTGATACTTTGTTCATGCAGAAGATCCTGAGTTTGTAACGTTGTCCTAGGGTGTTACAGGGTGCCCACAAGTGAAATATTGGCCGCAGTATGGGGAAGTGATTCAAATGTAGTACTCGATGGGTTATAATAAGGCCAATTCTTACTCGGCGGTAGGATAGTGTGTAGAGTCCGAGCCTTTCACAAGATTTTTCATACGGAAGCTTTCGTGGACTGGATATCATTCTAGTTGCGATATGCTGTATCTTTTTCAGCTTCTCAGTTTCCTACTGCGTTTTCTGATGGTTAGCTGGGGCTCCGTGTTCAAAGATTGGTCTAATGAGCGAGGTAATTAGACGAGGGACGGTTTCTTCGGACCATGTGGAGAAACTGCGTCGTAATGCACAGAGCATACGAAGTTCCGCAAGGTACAATTTCTCTGTATTTTCTAGTGATCTTATATCATGTCGTGAGAGAACTCCTAAGTCTCTGACAGATGTGTTAGGGTGGAGCAACTGGTCGCCCAAGGTGTATGATCGAGTGGCTGGACGTCTGGTGATACTGATGAACTCCAACTTGCTTGTGTTAAGAGGGAGTTGCACTTCAGTGGACCACATTGACAGTCGATCTAAGTCATGCTGGAGGCTAGCGCAATCGTCTTGGTTCAGTATGAGCCTGTAGATTTTCAAATCATCTGCAAACAGGGCACATGGTAACTGGAGCTGCTACGGAAGATCGTTGATATGAATAAGAAATTATACTGGCCCAAGTACAGTTCCTTGAGGCACGCCACTGGTCGATGGAAACCATTCTGTCAGGTAGTCATTGACCTGTACTATAAACCTTCGTCCCACACTAAACTCGTGTAACCAATGAAGTAATGTGCCACCGATTCCGTATGTCCTAAGTTTACGAAGGAGCACCTCGTGGTTCACTCTGTCAAAAGCCCTACTAAAATCGATGTACACCATGCCAACATCCTTCTGTTCATTGAGAGCTCGTACCCGATGGTGGTTTGCGTACATCAAATTAGGGATGCAGGATCGCTCTTTCGTAAAGCCGTGTTGCGCTGGTGTCAATACGTCCATCGATTCGAAGAACGACAACAGACAATTTTCACAACCTTCTCGAGAAGTTTGAATGATATCGAAGTCAAACAGATCGGTATATAGTTCTCTATTTTACTCGAATCACCGCCCTTGAGAAGAGGTCTCATTATCGAGCATTTCCAGTCGTTGGGGACAGATCCTTCATCTCATGGCTGGTGAGATGACATTCGATAGGGGCTTGAGTATTAGTGGATGAAGTCCATCTGGTCCGGGGGGCTTTTCGCCATTGAGGTAGACAAGTAGCTGATACACTTCGACTGCATCACATTGTAGGCTGTCGAACAAGACTGGCGCAACCTGTGCCGGCACTGCAACAGCCGCCGGTTTACTGGAAAATACGGCGAGGAAGTGGGTAGCCAAGGCGTCCTGGCGCTCCGCGCTTGAAATGAGCGCCTTTCCGTCTAAGCTTTTAAGACCGGTAGGTCGTCCCCAGGTTTCAGTTGACTTTTCAAGTAGGCAAATATTCGCTTGGGTGTAGTTGTAGCCAAGGATGCTAGCTCCTCTTCGAACTACCAGCGTTTCTTGATCTTTGCGGCGTTACATAAGTTTCGCTGTTTCTTGTACACTGTGCAATCTCCATCACAACCCAAGCTGATGTATCCATCCCAAAGTTTGCAACGCCGGCGCGCTAACTGTCTATATTCCCTATCAAACCAATGCGGTTTGACAGGTCCGATTTTTGAATACTTCAGGGGAACGAACCAAATACACAGCGAATTAAGCTTCCCGTTCATTAATGACCAGCAGGCCTCAAGCGACGCATCCTGTGGTCGTGTCCAATCAGTCTGACTTGCGGTTTGGACGAGCCCGTTGAAATCCGTCTTCCAATAGTTGAATGCCGGCTTCCGTAGGTTGTAATACGGTAACGACAGTTCTAAGCTTGCCACTATGGAGCAGTGGTCACTGTTCGCCAGAGGTTCGAAGACTCTGATCTCATTCAGCTTGTGCTCGCAGCTCGTAAACATTAGGTCGAGATAAAATGTCGAGTGCGGAGTTACGCGCGTTGGTTGGATGACATGTTGCGTTGCCCCGATTTCAATAGTCATTTTAGCGAATTGAGCCTCAAGGTTGCCATGACCGGGAAGAAGTCGAATGTCTGGCCAAAATATCCTAGGTAAATTTAGATCCCCATCAATAAGAAATGAGGGCGGCTCATGTGCTTCTGGATGTGTGGTGACCAACCACAACAACGCGTTTGAGGCGGATTGCACACTATAATTGCTCACATAAGTTATCCTCGCTCCGATAGGTGTTGGTGAGTTTGCCAGATAGTGACGATTTTATGTACAACAGAACACCACCGTGAGCCTTTGATTTTCGGTCATCGGACAAACTTGAGCAGATATCCTCCGATATGGTGCTCAAAGAAGGGATCCGCGCCATCAATCGGGAGAACGGCACATTTCTTACGGTTCACCGAGAGTCGCCACTAAACAGACCAGTTATGCAACTGGTCAAAAGAAGCTTGGAGTCTATCGGCATCCCCATGGCAAGATATTTCAAACCACAGTTTGAGGTCATCAGCGCAGACTAGACAGTTGGTTTGAAGTGTCGCTGGAAGATCGTTGATGTACAGTTTAAAAAGCTCTGGTTCAAGGACGGAGCGTTTATAAGGACATCATCGAGCGCAAAACTGAAGTGAAACGGGGACATGGGTCAACGCTGTTGTACACCGCTAGTGACGTCAAAAGGTGAAGAGAACTTACCATAAGCCCTCACTTTACCTCACACATTGCAATATAGTGCTCGAAGAAAAGCGGTAGACATTTCGGGTACTCCATTCTTTTGTAACCAACGCCATAAAGCTGGCCGATCGACGGAGTCGGAGGTTAGGACAACGTAGCAGCGGCAAATAAACCACATCATACGGAACCCTCTACAAACAAATTACCTCCAGTTGTCTCCAGTGAAGTACTGAGGTGTGGACGATGCCTAGATCAGTTTGCTGAGTGACAACAAGGATTTCACTTCTACCAACTACATAACGCGTGGGGGGACTAGCACCTCCAATGCGGAGGACAGAACATTTCGCCTGATTCATAAGCATCAACCATAAGG